AAATATTCTAACTTCTGCAACCGGCGACGTGCCACTTCTAAAAAAGGATGCGAGACGCGTTCAGAAGTTCTACAAGTGGGGAACAATGTAGTTGAAAGAATATTCTGCCAGCAACTCTCTTTTCTCCTGAAAGAATAACACTCCTCGTTCATTTGTCACAACGCGACAGACATCGCAGTCAAGCGTCGCTTCTTGCGGGCATTTATGTTGAATACTCTCGAACCGGTCTGCTTTCAGCGGGCGCAGGTGAGCGCCGAACCTGCTGTCGAGGGTAATCCGGCTGTTTTTTCCTAGGACACCGTCCGTCGTGTGGATGTGCCTGCAGGCGGATCATCCGCGAATTAGCCGTCCGCGTCCACGACAAATCCGGATTCAGTCCGTCGTCTGAATGCACCATAAGCGGGCATTTTAGGAAGTTCTAAGCCTTTAACTACTCGGCGCCCCGTCAACATTTCGTCGTAAAAAGAGGGGGGTGCCCCGTATTGCGCCAGAGGCTGGTAAGCGGGCGCAATGCGAATTCCTTGCCCGCTTCTGGATTATGCGTGCAGTGGGGGCCTCCCGGCTGTGTACAGAGTTGCTGTTGGGCATGTCATGCATGGCACAGTTGATTGGTTAGTAAAATAAAACAGAAAACAGACAACAGCTGCACTTAGAAAGAGTAGTTACACTTGGAATTGTTTTGGGTTGTCCAGTGCCCTTCGCAGCTGCAGTGCCGTGAACTCAGTTACTATTTTCATTATTTTCACAAATAACATGGGAAAACGTCCTCCTTGAGGCATCTCTTAAGGTGGCGGTTCTACTGTCGCCATATTGCGAGTAGTTCTGGAAAATATACCTGACGGCGCCACCAAGTCAGGACTGGAAAGCCAACATTTCGGAGGTGAACTGCCACACGTGTGCCGGCGCGCCACACTGCATGACGAGGGGGTGCAAATCGCGCTGACACGGTTCGAAGAAATGAGGCACTGAGCAGGGGCTTTTTTTTTCTCCCCTTCACCGACACCTCCATCTCTCTCCATGCTCACTAGCCCCTGACCCCTGCGGTCGCTGCTTTTCAAGAGATCCCTCATGTAGGCTGCGTAGCCTGCTTGGCCAGCTGCTCTACGTTCCATACAGTGCCGGAATGCGGGGTTGAGTGAAAAACTCTATCGCGGAGGTCACAACAATGTATACAATGGAGATCAAAACTTGGACTATGAGTATTCATGCGAGGTTCAACGGAACAGTTCGTTCTACAAATAATTGGGGTTGCTGGAGCGTGATGCGGTTCGGTGGGACAGGAGAAGGCAAATTATATTTGACTATGTATACTTCCTTCCCAGTATAACCTAAGCTTCCAAATTTTCAAAAAAAAAAAACAAAAAAAACGGGTAGTTAGGCAAATCGCGTGCTAAGAAGTGCGGCCGCTGTGACTCACGGTGCCCAACACGTGCCGACTGCATAATCATTAGTTTTCCCCACTATACGTAGCGTAATTTATTTCATTAGAATTGAAACTTCAGCAGGCTAGTATGAATTCATGTTTTGGTTGATGCAGCGTTTATTTATCACGTTGCCGTACGCAAACCATTGGACTAGTCGACAAACTATGTTTATGACGAAAACGAAGCAATTACCTCTTGTGTGTCATATGAGCGAGACTCGCACATGCGTGGCCTGAATGGTCCAGGTGCGTTATTCCCTTGTCCAAGGAACGACTTCTCTATTCGCGTACGCTATTTCAACATCTTTTTTTTTCCTGTAAAGGTCGTGGCAATAACATGAAGAGTGATCGTTTCGCCCAAATCAGTTATTGACTGCAAGCTCGTAGATTCGAGGCCGTTACCTCAAGCTCTATAAACATCTCATGATAAAAACTGGGGCGGATTCACACAAACCTCCCAGGAGTGCAACAAGGGAGGGGAAGACTTATGGTACAGTGCATCTCCCATGCATCTTTCTACACAGCCGCTGCTTGTATTACTTCTATGTCGTACTCATTTCGAGTTCGTAAAGCGCATGCAAGGCAAAAACATGAGTACACAAATACAATAGTTGCAAAGGAGTTGAAGAAAAGGTCTTGTCGCACTGGATAAGGCTTTTGGATGCATGATTGGTCAATTCAAATAACTGTGTCGGCTAACATATCTTCAAGCAACGAGTCTTAGTGTTGTGTATATGCTATGCAATGAAGGGCTGTCATGCAGTAAGCAAGATTGAGTCAATACACGTTGTTGTGACAATTTATTTAGTACGAAACGAGCGTCGGCAGCACTTGGTTACAGCCACGAAGACACCTGAACATCACACACCACAAAAAAGCCCGCAGAACTACAACGCATACATTCAGAGAAATGTGAAATCGCACAAAGCAAAAGTACATATAATCACGATTTTCGGATGCGAACTTGTGACAGCAGAGAATGAATTTGTATGTTTTATTATTATTTTCCGTTATCCTATATCACACACGAACTTTTTACAAAAGTTCATTGGCGCTTCTGTGGCCATGTCTCTCGGTCATTGCTGCTGCAGAACGCACGTGAATGGCTGATGACACACCCGACACAAAGAAGTGAATTGCTACCTCATAGCTTGTTCGAGAAAGAGTCTTTGCTATCGTCAAATCTGAGCCTGCATCTGCCATTCGATATATACAAGGTCGTTCTCCTAATGTGCAGTTCTTTAGAGCGAAGCGCTTACGCACATACTGCTGCGTTGAGCGGCGGCGCCTGTTGGCGTCGTCGGCGTAACCAGTAGAGCGAACAAGGACGAAAGAGAGCGAACGCGGAGTCTGCTGATGTCACTCGCCACTGGCCTCTAACCTCGCCTTCTTCCTCCGTCACGCTCGCTGCCCCCCCCCCCCCCCCCAGTAGCTACAACTGCAGATGGCCGAAACTACAGACGCACTTGGCGTTGCCCCAACACGAAAGTGCGCTCAAAATCACCATTAGATAGCATCGTCACAATTGGTGAATTTCTTGACAGTGCACGCGCCCAGCACAAGGCTCAAGGCTGTGGAAAATGTCCGAGTCGCCACTCTGCTTTGCCTCCTTGTTCTTCATCGAAGCTCGTTTAGACTGCTGGTGTGACTCAATTGCTTTCACATTCCACTGTGGTCTGCGTATGGGCATGCTGCGCGTAGTACGGGGATCTACAATTTCAGGTAACATGCAGTCTCTGTAAAATCTGATTAGTTGTGGAAGCATTCTGAATTTCCAAAAGTCATTATCTCTTTCGATCCGCTGTACGTGGATGCCCTTCGACGTGCAGACGACGAAGTGGCAGAAACTTCTTTTAGTGATATGCAGCTGGCCTTGCACTTGGTAGAAATAGTTATGAGAGCAGCTCAATTTGGGTGGTTCGTGTACTTGGCTCCTTTGATTGTACTTTTTAGCTGCCTCGGATGGCTCCATGTCCTTCGAAGTGAATGGGCACTTCACCTCCACGATACCGTCGCTCGCAATTAATCCGTCTGGCGACGCCGCCAAGAATCCGTACTCTGGGTAAACAAATAATCCGCAAGGTTGCACAGCAGTTTCCATTTCTTGCTCGTATAACCGGAGTGCAACACGCTCCTGTTGTCTTCCATGCTCAAGAGCGGCACTGGTGAAATTTTTTTTATAGAGCAGGGTCTTCACGAGCGTGTCACACGGTGTCCACTCCCTCCTTCGGCATACTGCATAGAAATTCGACGCCGTTAGGCGCATGTTTCTTTCAAAATGCCATGTAGGATTATCAGCCTGTCCTCGAGTAGCCTTCTCAATTTCCATCTGCTGTTTCTCATTCACCTGCAGGCTTGCTAAAACAGCCCGTTCTTTCTCGGCATATTGCTCTGGTGGCATGTCTGGCTGCTGGCAATTCGGACCATAATGAATCATTGAGTCGTTCACCGTAGACTCCTTGCGCTTATGCTGCTGGTGGCCATTTTCTTCAAACAGTTTTCTTCTGAGAGACTCTTTGTTTGCTTTCTGAGCCGTCTTCTTGCTTGCGTAGCGCTTCAAGACGGCTGCGGGGCTCTTGCAGGTTACAGCCTTGGATGTGGTGCAGTGCCACTGTGGCCCCAGCTGAAAGCTGAGCCCAGCTCCATAACAGCGGTGTTCATAAGAGCCCTTTTGACATCTGTCGATCTGTTTACCACCAGATAGTTTGGCTACCAGTGCCATGACTGCCTCGGCAAGATTACTTGTATCATCTGTCACAAGACGGTCAGCTTTTTCGGCAATTATATTGGCAGCGGTAACTATTTTCATTTGTAGCACCTTAGGCATGGCATCATAAATGTTGTCACCTTTGGTGCCATCACAGAAGTAGTCTTTGCAACTGTCGTGGCAACCAAAAACATGTTTTGGGCCATTTATTAGGTCACCCGCAAGCTGGCGCGTAAGGTCGGCTTTCTGGGCACGCTGCTTTTGTGCAGTACCCTGTACATCTCTAAGAATGTTTGTGTAGTGCTTTATGGCCTTCCGTGCACCATTCTTTAACCGCTTAATCCTAGGGCCACTTAGGAAAGCTGAACTGCCCTTTGTTTCTTTGGCTATGCCATAGAGCCGAGTGGTGTAACATTTCACAACATGGTTTGCACATTCCCTTTTTTTTACAAAGCGCCCGTACTCCACTTTCGTGAGTATCTGATGTAAAACGGACGAATCCCCGTCTCCTATGAATGTCCGGTATTCCACACCATGCATTTCCACGCTTCTCTGGAAGCCTTCAACGATAATATCCGACTCCATTGCCCCTGAGCTTTGGTTCCAATTCTTGTAGCACACATGGTCTTTCTTGCCCTTTCCCGTCCTAGAATAGTGCTCACAGGTACTGCACAGCTTGTTTCGTACTCCTAGGTAGAGGAGCTTCTTCGTGCGTTCTCCTATAATCACAGCGACACCAGAGTTGGCGGAATACCGGTGTCCATGACTGCGGTGTGACCACCCACCATCGACAATCACTGTAATATAGGGGGTTATGCCATCCTCACAGAAAGCCCCAGCTTCTTCCGCGAGTTTTTTTTATTCTTTTCCGGCTTTTATCATTTGGTCAAAAAGGACGGTTTTCCAGCACTGCAACAAAACAAAAATTATAGCAGATTACAACGTCGAAATTGTTTTCACAATAGCGATGCCGCACTTTGTAATTGCGTCAATGCGGGAGTGAGCTCCTAGACAGGACGATTACTGGCTCACTTGTAATCCTGACATCTCACGATCAATCGTTTCATTGTATACGACGAAATGTTGCAGAGAAATTCTCATCGTGCCGTACTCCCGTTCAAAACGCTTGCCATGCACGTGCCACTGTCACTTCACGTGAATTTTACTAAAAATAAAGCACATCCTTCATCGTCTTCAGAAAGAGAAAATAAAAATTTATCAGCTTATTTACCTTTCCCAGGGACTCCTCCCGGCGTAGAAAAGCCCCTTTGCTCATAGCAGGAATTTCCATGACTGCCATTGCTTCCTCGAACTGCGAGTGGCCCGATCCGATACTCATGAATGCCCAAACAGCAGCATCATTGACTCCTACGTTTGCTTTGTCAGTGAGGGACGTTGGTTCTGTGACGGGGTCAGTCGTCAACTTTCTGATTTCCTGACATTCACTGCAGGTAAAAGTGAGCTCCGACCAGAGCCCCACTCTGTTCTTTCACGAGTGCAAAACGTCCAGTCAGCTTAGGACAGCTGTGGTCGTCGAGACTACGAACAGCGTTCACGAAATGGGCCAGCGACACAACTCGTCTTCCGGTGATGATCGGCTCCTCTGGCTGAGTTGTGACGCTTGTCTCCAGACTCAGGCCCGGCAGCGACTCCTCGACGATGCCGAAATTGTCCCAGTATTCAGACGTTGCGTCATCCTCTCTGGCAAAACCACTGTCGTCCAAGCATGGCGTACAGGCGGCGCTTTGGCGTTGCTCTCTGTTGCTCTCCGGCGAATTCGCCTTCCTGAAAATTTACAGGAAAGTACATCATGTGGTTAGTGAGCTAGCACCAGATGCACAGGGATCGTAGCAACTACACTTCCAAAGCTGGCATGAATAATAAGCTGGTGTGGTGAGGGACCGATGCAAAACTCAAAATAAAAGGGCGAGTCCTTTTCTCAGTCGGGATAATTACTGAAAAGAATTTCTTCCGACAGTCGTCTACTATGGGTTGCTTGAATGTCGATAAAAGGCAAGATAGATGATACAGGTGTTTGGGCTGCCTTCCTTGAACCTAATCAATCAATCAATCAATCAATATATCAATATATAAATTAAATAGTTTTGTTTCCAAAAAAGCATATTTACGGTAGAAAAGGGTGGCCGGGATAAAATATGAACCATTACGGATTGACAAGTGCGTCATAGCGTTTTGAGAGGATGGTTGGGCGGATAGGGCATGTGACACGCTGTGTGCGCGCGTGTCCATGCACTGTGGGATAAGCGCTCGTGTGTACAGAATCATTTGATTGGGTGCATCTCGCATCTTTTTTTTTTTTACTTTGAGCACAGTCTAGCTTTTATAGAACACTTTCTCAGTTACAGTGCTCAGCTCTCAGTTACAGTGCTCAGCTCTCAAGCACGCCGCGTGCTTGCGAAAAAAGCAGCATCAGACAAAAATGCCGGGCTTTGCCACCACTGCTCAATGTTCCGCCCGCAAATATGCTGTTCGATCGGACAAGTGCAGGTCAGAAAGATAGACGGAGCACAAGGTCACGACAAATAAAAGGCGCCCAAGCAGATAAACACGCAAGCAGGAGCGTTGTGACGTACACACAGCGTGCTGTAGGTCCTGATTCGCCCAGACCTCTCGTCACAGCGCTAAGAAGCACCTACCCTTAGCCTTTTGATACACGGCAGCGACATTTCAGATACACAAAGAAACAAGGTTTTTTATAGACACCACACGTCCGCAGATCTTAGCACTTTCTTCTCACGGGCGCGCATTATCTAGGAGTGACTGCGTGTCCAGCGTCCTGTACACGCACCTATAGGCGCTGCAGCGACAAAGTACGGGATATAGCATTGGACAGTTTTGTTCACCTGAAGCCGTAAAACAGAAGTTCTAATGAATTTGTCTTTGTACATATATAGCCGCCAAAACTAACATGCCAACATAAAATAGAGTAAAGTATAGCAGTGTAGCTGGCAACGTAAAGCTGATCATAGAAAGAATGTCGCCCACAACGTGACAATTTGCCTTCTGCTTCCTTCCTTCCTTTACGGAGCCCACATTGCGTCTGGGGTACAAAACGAGCTCGCCACCGTATCAAGAATAGGCTTCTATAATGTTTTTTTTCTTTTTGCTGCTGTAGCTGCGCGCTTTTATTATCAAAAGAAACCACAGTAATCGAAATGGTCTTACCTTGAATGGTGTGAAAATGCAGCTGCTGCCCGTGCTCGACATGCCGCGATGGCGGCTCTCTTCCTCTTCCGTGAAGCTCTATCCTTATGATTTGTCATGACTCATGTGAAGCCCGGCAAGGCACTTGTGCTGCAGGTACTCCCACACGCGCTCGCAGCGCACGCTAAGCAAACTCTAAAGAAGCCCTCTACGCGAGCAGTGGACACCAGAGGATGCGGCAGAAATGCGTTCTATCTCTAGTGTCTCACGCTACTACAGCACTGTCGCCTTCCGTGCTGAGCACGCATTTTTATGTCCGTCCTTATCCTCACTCAGTCCGCCTCCCCCCTCGTCATGCTGCCTCGCACCTTCAGGCTAGCATAGTGGCTGTTATTCCACATCTCCTGCCCTCGTGCGAGGCCATCTAGACTATTCAGGTGTTAGTGGTGTCGCCTTGGGCACCCCTTCTTGGTACCTGGTAAAACGCGTTCCTCGCTCACTATTGACGGGGGACTAGCTGGAGGGGAAAGGCGCGTCGCGTTCGCACAATGTTCACTGATAGGCGCGTGGCTAATTTACTTATACGTACGTGGCTTTGGAAGTATTCCTAGTTAGGAAGCACATGGTGGCAGCCACCGGCTGTGTGTGAGAGAGGGTTGGGAGAGGAGGCAGTTGTCGTTACTTAGGTAAAAGAGAAAAATTTAGTGGACTTTAGTCCCGAGAAGCTCTTGCTTTCTGTTCTCGCAGATGTCTTGTAGTGTGCGAGAAGTGCACACAAGGCCAACACGACGAGTGGTCGGCGTTCCTTTGTCGTGAAAAGTACTCTGGGTCGACTTACCCCTCGAAATCCAGACCTGCCTGGCGCATTTGTGGGATACGTCTTTCTAGCGCATTACCCCCGTTTACATGGTCGTGATGCGCCAGTTGTCGTGCCGGCTTACGGCAAACTGTGGACGCCCGGCTATACGCAAACGTGCTTTCTTATCGAGGAAAGAGGAACTGGACCCCACTCCCAACAACCGTGGAGACGGCGTGCCGGCCTCTTGTTGAATGAAGTTAGTCGCCCCAGCTGGCAGCCAACTGACTGGCAGTTGCTTCGAGCTGTCAGGCTGTAATCAGTTTAACACGAATGCCAGAGTAGCCCATCGACTTTGCAAGCGCGTTTCGGAAAGGTGATGCGACGCCGTTTGCAGGACCTCTCGTCTTCTGTACGCCGCAGCTGCCATGTGGTGTCTGATTACAGCGAGCGAGTATCAGATTACAGCGACTTGTAGCTGGGCGAGTTGGTTTATGTAAAAGAACTAAAAAAAATAACTCATTAGCTTAGTCGTGCCTCGAGCACGGGAAACAGAAATTCGCACAATTTTCTGCGTCATCAACCACTATATAAATAGGTACATATTAGCGCGAGCAAAATAACAATGACTTGAGAAAGGAGTGGCAGGAGGCAGGAATATCTCAGCTCCCGACATTTCTGCTTCGTCCCACTTCTTTCTCGAACGTACGTTTTTTGTTTTCTTGAGCTAATATTAATAAATTCCTTATAGCGAAAGAGGGACGCACGAAGTTCGCACAACGGGGGGCCACCATTCCCCTTATCGTGATTTACGGCCCGTGATTCGACCGGCACTCGCAAAACTGCCCATTTTCTACGCATTAGTGCAATGCGCCTTCCATTGCTTACATGAATGCGAAGCGCATGTTTCGCACTCATGTAAACGTGTTTTATGCACACCGATGTCACCACACTTTCTTATAAACTTATCCCTTTCAGAAACGTTTCTGTTCTTTTCGAGCTACTAGGCGTAAGTCCAAGATCGGCTATTTCTACTCGTCAGCCTTATGACTCACGCTAACGAGTCAAGGAGCTGCTATCTTGACGCATTGACAGTTCTCCGCACAGCAGACTTCCTAATGACGAATTGTCAGCAGGTGCCGCATGTCCTTGACATTTTTCTCTATTCTTTTTCTCCCCTTTCCCCTCCCCGTGTGGTGGTAGTGGTTAGAAGATGAGAAAAGGCACCTAATTTCTGCAACCCGGTCGGGAGCACGGCGCAGTGCCTACCCCTCCCCGTGTATAGGGTATCATATAAGCCTTTCCTTTGCCTTTCTCTCTCTCTCTCTCTCCTTCAGGCGAAAGCGTCGGCAGGGTGCCTTGTCGCATGGTGTTGTACACTGGCACCGAAGAAAACCAACAAGTTTTCAGTGCATAGGAAATGTAGGTGGGCTTCACCACTGCCGCTCCCCACCAGACCTGCTCAGTGGGAGCATAGTCAAAAGTTATCCGCCTTTCTGCCTCCCTGAAGGACTTCACTTGTCGCTGGTGCTTCAAAGCAGAAAAAAACAAGAGCCCTGGTGCCTCATTGCTGTCCCCGCACCGAAGTACTTTCTTACACCACGCCGTGCATTCAGCAAATTTCATGCCACTTCGCTTCGTTGTACTGGCTGAAAAATCTGCAAGATTTTCAGGCAGTAGCATGATTTAGCCAGTTTATGCAGTGAGCGACGGAATAAAACATGCTCGGTTTTGTGGTTTATTGAAACCGATGACGGATATTCACAGCTGACTTCGAGAGAAGAGATTGCAAGCGCCCGCGTTCCCTTAGAGCGAGTTTGCAGTGATTAGAGGAACGCCGTCATGGGGGTACTCCAGAACTTGGTGTTCGCGCATTTCGGCGCTATGGAAATGTGCGCTTGTCGTATATAAAGGCGGAAAGCGAACACGCGTCCTCAACTCCTGCCGCACCGTAGTTTTCCCCAAAGTAAATAATAATAAACACGCAGAAAGTACAAACAGACTTCATCTCATTCCTGTAGGGGTGACACTTCAGCGGATTAGCTTGGGTTTTCTGGCAACCAGTACAAGTACACTTTTCGTCTGCTCGTGGCATGTCCTTCATGGCTCGCGAACATCTGCATGAGTGGTCGGCACCATCTACGCTTGACCATGGTTTAAAGAAGAATGGCGATTTGCGCTAGCTGGTTTGAATTCATGGTAATAAGGGCTGCAGCGCGAGCATGAAGGTGCTAGAAGAAATAGACGAAAGGCGAGGCACGGAAGGCAAAGAGGACAACACGTGTGTCCTCTTTGCCTTCCGTGCCTCGCCTTTCGTCTGTTTCTTCTAGCACCTTCGTGCTCGCGCTGCAACTCTTATGACTATGGTTTACTTAGTTTCCGGGGGTTTTGTTCTCAGGTGAATAAATGCGCAGAAATCACTTTTCGTGGTTCGGGAAATGTCGCCGCCGTCGTTTGACACGCGAGATTCTTAGCCGTGATGGTGGTGAAATATTCTAACTTCTGCAACCGGCGACGTGCCACTTCTAAAAAAGGATGCGAGACGCGTTCAGAAGTTCCACAAGTGGGGAACAATGTAGTTGAAAGAATATTCTGCCAGCAACTCTCTTTTCTCCTGAAAGAATAACACTCCTCGTTCATTTGTCACAACGCGACAGACATCGCAGTCAAGCGTCGCTTCTTGCGGGCATTTATGTTGAATACTCTCGAACCGGTCTGCTTTCAGCGGGCGCAGATGAGCGCCGAACCTGCTGTCGAGGGTAATCCGGCTGTTTTCTCCTAGGACACCGTCCGTCGTGTGGATGTGCCTGCAGGCGGATCATCCGCGAATTAGCCGTCCGCGTCCACGACAAATCCGGATTCAGTCCGTCGTCTGAATGCACCATAAGCGGGAATTTTAGGAAGTTCTAAGCCTTTAACTACTCGGCGCCCCGTCAACATTTCGTCGTAAAAAGAGGGGGGTGCCCCGTATTGCGCCAGAGGCTGGTAAGCGGGCGCAATGCGAATTCCTTGCCCGCTTCTGGATTACGCGTGCAGTGGGGGCCTCCCGGCTGTGTACAGAGTTGCTGTTGGGCATGTCATGCATGGCACAGTTGATTGGCTAGTAAAATAAAACAGAAAACAGACAACAGCTGCACTTAGAAAGAGTAGTTACACTTGGAATTGTTTTGGGTTGTCCAGTGCCCTTCGCAGCTGCAGTGCCGTGAACTCAGTTACTATTTTCATTATTTTCACAAATAACATGGGAAAACGTCCTCCTTGAGGCATCTCTTAATATAACAGAAATTGCTCTTAATCACAGTGATAAGCAGGTAAAAAAACTGGTCGCTATGCCCAACACCATTCTCTGCCACAACACCTTATCGAACGAAGAAATCACCCAATTAACAGAACTTGAACAGAATAAATAACAAGCCATCATGACCACAAAAATTCATAAACTCAAAAGAGACCATGTGCCCGAACCCGCGTTCTCTGATATAGTTCCTTATCACTACAACACCGCCACCCAGGAAACCACTAATGGTACAAACGAGCACCCATCTAGAAACACACCCTTTGACACTCTGGTTGTAAACTTATCGGGCACGAGCTTGTTACCTGACGAAGAAAAACTGCTATCTAAGGGACTAAGCTTCTGCCCGACCACCAAATTTTTTGATGAATTCCACTTGCTCCGAGACCGCGACAACTTCGCTCGAAGCTTAAGGTTGCGCGAATATTTCTTGGACCGGCCTTCTAATCACGAAACAATTCACCGTCGTAAATCAAATGATTGGACACCGAACAGTAATCGAGACAAGTGCTTGGACCTTTATATCACCGCTGTAGAGAAAGATATAGTACACGAATACCACAGACAGAAAGGAAACCGAGAAAACTTGACAAAATCTGAAAAAATAAGGATGAAAAATTTTGCATCTAGGACAGATATAACAATAAAACCCGCTGACAAAGGAGGAGCAATTGATGATGATGAGTAGTTTTTAGTGGCGCAAGGGCCAATTGATGGCCAAAGAGCGCCATTTCAATTGACTACAGATATGAGCAATGATATGGTGCGTGGCTGTAAAGGGGCCTTAAAACTCCTCGCTCTAACGCGGGTTAAAACATGAAAGTAATAAAATCATGACAGTGGCTTGACATATGTGTAGTGATAGAGGATGGCAAAATGTCATGATAATAAAACCATGATGAAGATGTAGTCACCACAGCCATGACCACTCTATAGTGGTCGTGCTACGGATGACCTCGAAATATCGGGTGAAAGCTTTGCACATCTTTTAAAAACGTAAAAAGTGCTTGCAGTTTAAAAAGCGGATTCCTACAGATGAGCATCCCAGGGTGTAGAGGGAGCTGCTGT